TTGTCCATTTTTTCTATGACATACCTTAGTGAATGTGGGTAAGCGCAATACAACTTACTCACCAGATGACAAGAAGTGTGCTGTAGAATATGTACAGTAGAAACGGCTTGTAGTTGTTATGATTAACACACTGATTAATCCACGGACAATGATGGTCGAATTTGACCACACATCGACCGCATGATGAACAGTGGTGAGATCGGTCGGGCTTCAACGTCTGACATATGTAACAGTACCTGCAACAGTTTTTATGGGAGTAACATAGGCGTTTACTTGCAGTCATCTAACTTGTTTCTCCCGGCTTGATCACATTCAACCCTCGCCACCTTGATCGCTTGCCAGTGATAATTGCAACGAAGTTGTAGAGACCTGCATTCAAACGCTCTTATCATTCCTTGTCATTTCTTATCAGTTCATACTGTTCGCAATCGGTGTCCCGGTCCCAACCTCCAGGCAACGTGTAGGAGCTAATATTTACTGTCACCACGAAGGCTGCAACGAAATTAGCAGTACTCAAAATCCTAACTTCCTTATCAACCGTTATCGCTTGTTATCACTTCTGATCATCCGCTATCCGTGTTCCCGTCCCATCCCCTATACCACATGTGAGAGCCAAGGTTCCAATGTAACCGCGAGGGCCGCAACGAAACTGGTGGTATCCACACTTTGACGCCCCTTATCAGTTCTTATCAGTTGCTACCACATTCGTTCACTCAACTTCTTGGTCCCCGCCTCACCCCACATATCATACATGAGTGCAAACTCTCCACCGTCAACGCGAACGGTGTAACGAAATTGGTGACATCAACATTTCGACGTCCGTTATCAGCTCCTATCAGTAGTTATCACTTCCCGCCACCCGTCATCAGTGTTCACCTCCGGCCCCCTATATATCCTAGAAGTTTGAGCGCTCTGGGTCCAAAGGGGGTGAAGTTATGAATTTCCGGTCAGACACACACACAACCGCTTAGGCCATAATACATATACTCGATATCGGTGAGTTGGGGGGCGTCACCCGGAAGTGACGTGCACTTGATAGAAACTATGTGGATAAGCTGCTTCCAACATACATCGCTGGCTATCAGCAAAGCATGCTGGCAACAGCTTATCCACGCACTTCTATCAAGTGCACGTCACTTCCGGTGACACCCCACCCAACTTTCGGATATCGACTGTAATACGGTTATTTAGCCCGCAGTTTTAGAGAAGATCAAGATTTCGCCCGAATTCAAAAATTGGGCCATGGGTAAGCCCATAGTCAGTACGGCATGCACGCTTCCCACTTGGAGACAGCTTCGAGATGATAGCAAGCGGCACGTTTGGTTGATAGTTACACTTCCACCGCAGTTCCTGCCCATGGGGCAATCTGGCATCACCCCTTGATCTCGTCGATGCATGGCGTATGCCTGGGTGGGCACTGGCTACGTCGACGAGCATCCTGGACGTTCCTCAACGCCGGCAATCTGCCTTCAAGGGAAATGGAGTAGGTGTTCCTTGCGAAGAAAATGACAACTTCACTTTTCTGGCGTTCGTTAGATGCAGTTGGTGTGATCCGCGCCTGTGATTCAGATGCTTCATTGAGTTTTACCATAACTGCTAGTTATTTATTGCTTGTAAACGGAATTTGTGAAAAACTGGTGTACGAAAATATCGCAGAATTGTGGGAGAAAGTTCTTGGAAATGACACCTATAGGCTTTAAGTTCACGCGCAAGCACATGCGAAATGCAAAAAAGTGATATATCGAAAAATGCAAAAATTCGAGCATGGAGGGGGACTGAGCCAACAACTTTGAACAAACCATGCCAACCCTAGTCCATCACTCTACCCACCGTGGATAGAGTGATGGACTACTACCGCTGTGTGGCGAATGTCAACGATTCTGATGATATTTCTGTTGTGCGTTCGCTTAACTAACGAGTGATATACACCACGTTGAAGGTGTGAAAACTCCGATTTCTTAAGAAACTTTTTTTCACTCCTTTTTTGGCATTCAGATGCCGCTCAGAAAAAAATTAAGCCTAGCTTTGTACTCCATGCATGTGCTCCTTTATCATGCAAAGCAACATTCTGCTTTGTATGGCTCCTGACTATTCCTTTCACTAGCGCATATACTCATGCTGCACACACACTTGATCGTGGCACATCACACTTGATCCCTTGATTCAAATGCGACGTTTATGAAGAAAAGGCAGACAGTTAGAGATTAAAGTAGAGGTAATCAGCGGTGCAGGGATGTAGTATAAAACCATGAAACGGCCAAGTATCCGACGAATGAGACTTGTTCTTTGCTCGTTGATTATTCCGCATCGATGTGCTCTCATCGATGGTGCCCACTTCAACGCTAACGCTCTCTGCTAAAGGGCTAGAGTATCACGCTGATGAGTGGGTGTGACGCGGCGCGAGCAGAACGGGCATCACCTGCTAGGCCGTTAAGGACTGCCTTTTACTGATGGACACGAGACATGTCGTCTCATCCTTAGCCACTGCCTTTTGGAATTACATATTTCTCCTTTCTTCGAACCTTATCATGAAACCCTGCCTCACCTGGAAGCTTCGCATATCCAGATTGCAACGTCAATATTGAAAGCCATTATACCAGCGGCGCGACATTTATTATTTAGTTCACTCATTGCGCTGTATATTCTGAATATTATATGTATTCTTCCGACCTCATCGTGGAACCTTCCCCTAGAGGTCAGGGCGGATCCGGAATTCCCGGGCGCCTTGTTTTTTCTTTGAAGATGTCAGAATGTACATAAGCTAAAATGTACATAAGCCAAGCGGAGCAACGCTCAGAGTGGGCGTGGCTGCATAGAAATGAGATGCACTGACGACGACATTTTCTACTCGGGTTCCAAAACAGCCGAGATAACGGGTGAAAATGAATTAAGCCGTCATTGAGAAGCCGAATCGAATAAGTGAGACCTACTTTCAGTGGGCGGGGCGTTCTCTAGAAAAACGGTGTTTGATGAAAAGTTTATAACTCGTTCAGTATTAAGCTTACAGAGCACAGCAAAAATTGATGTAGGGAACTCCACTTAGGGGCACGCTCAGCTCACAGTGGGTGACGTTTCTTACAAGCCTTCATAATTCGGCTCTGAGAAGTCTTGAGAGACGAGAAAACATGTATAGACGTTAGAGAAGGAGGGGGCGTCAAATTTCAATAGAGGGCGTAACGCGCACTGAAGTGAGCGCCGTTCGCTTTGAAGCCCATAACTCGATTCGAAGTCTTGCAAAAACGATGAAAAGAGTGGATGGAGTCTGACAACGGAAGGGAGCCAAATAGCTGTTGGCGGGAGAGCTTGCACCAGTGTGAGTGGAGTTTGTCACCGAACAATACTTCGGTTACAAGGAGTTTCGGAGATCGGGAAAAGTGCATAGGAAGCGACGAAGGGAAGAAGGTCAATTGCTGTTGGAGTTCATAGATTCATAACTCGGTTCGGAGACATTCCAGAGACCGGGGGAAAAGTAAATAGATAAAGGTTGATGAGGAAAAAAGATCATGCTCCACCGGTGGGCAGAGCGAGGTGAAGTTTGTTACCAAATTCCACAATTTGGTTCGGAGGCAGTTCAGAGGGAAGGGAAAATTGGCCAATGGTCGAAGGAGGGAAGCTAAAAACTCATAGTTTGATAAGGAATGCACCGTGCTGGGCGGAGTGGACGAGGAAACTTCGTATTGTATTTCTATATTATATTTCGTATTGTATTTATTTCGTATTATTGTATTTTCTGGTTTGATGATGCATAATTGATAAATTGATAATTGAAAACTGATGCATAATTCTGTCTGTATCAGTGGAGATGCGATTGCACTCACATTTCTTGCCGGCACGAGCCAGCAGTAAATACCACCGAAGCAAGCTAGTTCAGCTGGTCCGAAATGCCCCTTCCTTCATTCCAAAAGAAAATGGGGAAAGCTCTCGTTTAAAGCTTCGCCGGCACTTTTCTTCGCTTTTTTTATTACCAGTCAACTCGCCACCTGACTTCATTATTGACTGTTTTTATCCCGCGAAATGAATCAGATCTCCAATTGTTGCTTTAAAAGCGGTTGGTTTCCCTCCCTTTCTTTCGAAGCGTAGACCTTCGGTCTCCCTGGTTCGTTATCGGTTAGTTTACTATTTTCGATGCCTTAGTTTTGCAGATACAGAACGACATACACACCAATATGCACACCGGCAAACCGACATACTAAAATTTGGTTCATATTAGGTTGAGTCATAAGTGATGTCCACCTCTGATACCAATATTCAAAGCTCAGTAACTTTCTTTACATCCAATTTTTCTTTCAATGATACACACTTGCCATAGCTGCCAACAACTGTTCTCTATATACTCGCAAGTGAGCCATATGTCAGGCATTCACTTCTGCCCGCACTAACCTTCATGTTGAACGTGTGGTCGCAGACTATGCGATTTTCCGATAGATTGGAAAGCTTGAGCCATGGCAATATTCGAGCATTGCTTGCCTCCAAATTCACGGCTGTTGGTAAACAGGCAGCAGCAAGAACAACTGGAGCTCAAATAATGTGCTTGGCCTGCGAAGTTGTACTTGTCCTCTCGACATTTAGGGAGCCGATCTCTATATGCATTATTATCTATCATGTCCAATCCGTTAACGGCGCACATGTTTGGATAGACCCTTCTATTTTTCTCAGGAGGGACGTGGAAGGACCTCGGCTGTGAACGCCTTGATGCGGGCGGCTTCAGTGCTCCTTAGAGATAAGTACGGATGGCTCTTTTTGGTAACATGAATAACTTTCATGGTCCCCACACAACATATTGTACATGACGAACACTATAGGGACTAGCTATAAGCAGGTCTATGCGATAATGGAAAAAGTTTGGGAAAAGTGGACATTATTAATAGCTCAGTCTGAATATAATGAAGTGATAGCGGAACGATTACAACACATCGACTTTAATTCAGGAAGACCCTGTGTTGGCAACTGGTTAGTATTTTGAGTTGGTGTGAGGGATAGCATCTTATAAAGGCTTACCGTATTTCGAAGTGCATTCCATCTTCGAGACTAGTTCTTAAAGGAAACATCCACAGTCCCCATCCGAAAACCTGAAACCTCACTAAAGTGACATCGGAAGCTCACCCTCCAACAAAGAAATATTTCGGAATCAGTAGTGTGAGACAACCTGCTGGAAGTTCCTCTCTCTGCCTAGATTGTAGTCTGCTTTGAAATCAAATCTGAAGGAATTAAGATAGGTAACGAAAACGCTGGTCAAAAGAAAACCACGAACTTAAGCACAGCAGGCTTCGCCTGTTCACATGTAGTCTCGTTGATTGAAAGCAACCCGTAATGGAAGATTAGCATCTCTCCGAGAGGGAAATACCTGAAGTCATCGTCCAAAGTACGTACTTAGGTTTCATACCTGAAAACTTACCCAAACACTCCAAATGTGGCAATGACAGTAATCAGTAGAACAAGAGGGATGGCATCTTCCATCCAGTTAGCGTTTACAATGAATCTAATGAAACACTCGATCGAAGTCAGCAAGAACCTGTAACAGCCTTTGTCGAAATACATATACATCACTGGGGAATGAAAGAAAAACGAAAGAGCATGAACATCTTTTGATTCAAAAAAAATCTCAACTTGGACGAAAATTATTGTTATTGCCGGATTACTTCCAGTAAAACCAGGCCTAAATCGATTGGAAAATATTTCTTCCCGACAGAAACAAGCCTAGAGAAAAGATGGAGACGTAGATGTTCCATGCGCTTCTAACAGAAGAAGTCAACGTTGCCTTGCAAGGACTCCACGTGAGCACAAGCACTGTTATGAAGCATGACTTTCTCATGACGGTGACACACAAGATGCTGGCGGCAGAGCCCACATGCCCCGAATAGCGTTCGCCGTTGAGCATATTTCACAGCAAGTTGTATTTGTTCGTCGAATAGAAATTGCACAACTTGCTTTCAGTGACCTCTGCCGCTCCAACAAGTATTCCAACTTGCCAATTCCAAACAGTCGGACGGATTCCCTTCTAAATCTGCGATATCCATCGCTAGAACGTTCGCACTCAATGGCAATATGGTTTGTACATCAGCGATCATGTGGACGAATGAGAGCGATGGATGAGGAGCAAATACTTCAACCATTGCTTCCTGACCTTTCACGTGGACTTTCGTGAAAACATTTCGCTTACCACTCCGGGAGTGTTATCGATCAGCTTAATAACTTCGTAGAGATTAGGTAGGAAGAAGTTGGGAAGAAGTAGGATGAGTTAGTTGAATATCTTCCTAGGACTGAGTAACCAATTAGATACTTCTAGATATAAGAAGGTGCTAGCGAAATAGTGTCGCGCAAAAAAAATCTTGGGTTCTCACTGGAGTTTGGAGAGAACCCATAAAGCCTCTTAGTTTCACATGCACTGTCACTTCGTTGTCACTTTTTATAACCAGATTAGTCCCCCGTCAACCGCCGGGACCTTCCTTTCCTGCGCAAGCTTTCTATCCTCCGCTATGGTCCCTTCCTCCTGTGACACCAACACCTCCTGGAAGTGACGCGTATGGTGTTTCATACAGTAGAAGGGACACAATCATGATATGACGGTAGATTTTTCGCTTCCCTTCCTCATCCTCCCTTCCTCTCTCCACTGCCCTCCAGCTGCCACTGCAGCACCATGTGGAATGAACGGAAGTGTGCTAAGCAGGTGTTTATATAGCCCTAAGAGTGTTATCACAACTATCCTGCTACAAAACATTGATATCTCAAATCCTGTAAGCTACCCGATTTGTTAGCGGTTTGTTTATCCCATGAGCTTCCTTCTCACTCACTTCATTTTGCGGACGGACACACATACATACATACACACACACACACACACACATACAGATACACAAACCGACACACAAAGTTAGCGCTTTATAATAGAAGGATACCTTAGTGAATGTGGTAAGGCAATACAACTTACTCACCAGATGACAAGAAGTGTGCTGTAGAATATGTACAGTAGAAACGGCTTGTAGTTGTTATGATTAACACACTGATTAATCCACGGACAATGATGGTCGAATTTGACCACACATCGACCGCATGATGAACAGTGGTGAGATCGGTCGGGCTTCAACGTCTGACATATGTAACAGTACCTGCAACAGTTTTTAAGGGAGTAACATGACGTGTTACTTGCATCAGCTACTTGTTCTTCCGCTGATCGCATTCAGCCTGCACAACTCCCAGCTGGGCCGCCACTCTAGTCAAAATCCGATGTTGCTTCACTGTCTGAAAGTTTGTAGACAGGGTTCTAGTGTCAGTACAAGAAACAAGGTTTTTAAGTTAACCTGCTCAGGAGTCGACTTATCTACCACGTATCTTCCATTTTCAAAAGGAGTGCATTGTTTGAGTAAGACATCCACCTCTGACGGTACCTGAAAAGAGGTGGAGTGATTTGTGGCTCAAATACTCTTGCACCACCAGCAGTTGAGTGTTGCAGTAACTTGAGACGATTATGAGCTTATTCTGCAACACCATTTCAGACAGCTCGCCTCTTCGCCATTTTCTTCACGGTTGTCCTCTACGCACCTCTCAGTCACGAGCCTTGCCCGTTGTGATCGTTAATTACATAGGGAATCTCTACTCCCGGCGGCTGAATAATTGCAGAAGCCTGCAGAATGTTTTGAATGCCTTCAAATGTTGTCCATTTTTCACTTTGTAGGATTTCCTTTACAAAGATAGTTTCCTCCAATGGCGCTCTTCATAAGTACCTCCAGGTGATCAGTTACATAACGTACCCACCTGGTCTACTACCATAAATCATATCTTCCCCTTTGATATCTATCCTGCGCCTTCGACATACGCATCTCAAGCCGGTCAACAACATCAAGTGCAACTCATCGCACTCCGCAGCTGAGATGTCGAACACGATGCGTTTTACGAACAATTGGAGGAGATCGTCCACAAAGAAAAATCCTTCTACAAATTTGTGGTCGGCGACTTCAATCCAAGGCTCAGAAAGAGATCATAAGAGGAAAGGAAGGCTTGGAATGAGACAATGGGACGAGAATGGAGACAGCCGCAACACTTGTGTTTGTGGCTTGTCTTTTCCATGACAAGTTTTTTTTTCAGAAAGAAACATCGCCACTGGACATGACAGTTCAAAGGTGCAAAGGTGTCGAATCGGATTACGCACCAAAAAACACAAAGTGCTGCTTGCTAGAATCTGTGGTGCACTTTCTACAGTGTCTTTGACCAACGCCACCACCGCACAAAGGCCTGGTTTAGGCACAGGCTGGAGAAAATCCCTCAACACGAGAAAGAGTCGATGCAGGTTATGTGTGAAGAAGACCTTTTTGCGCGCACTTCAGACATGAAGGAAAATCATGGAAGAGCTGAATTGACATTAAGTCTTTCACGACCCACTTCAAAAGGCTGAAAATGTTGAACATTCTTAGCTGGATTACTCCGGTCGCGTCTTACACGTTAGAAGGGAACTGTTCAAGTCAAGGAACGTGAGGCTAGCTCCGAACGCCACAGACTTCGAAAGGCCGCAGCTGGTTTAAGAAAATGCACACGTGATCTCCGAAACAACAACACTCTCTCGGGCTGGAAATGAAAGACGGGATTCTCACAGCATCCCGAATTGGAATGGACGAAATACCGAAGAGGATTTATACCAACCTGGACCCGCAACACGTGCTATACCCAAGAATTCTCACTGAGGGAACACCGCCACAAATTCTCCTTTTAGAAACACGACGATCGAACAAAATATACACTTTCCAGCAGTGCCCTAAGCTAGAGCGGTCTGGAATAGCTTCAGGCCGACAGAATCTCGACCGAGATAATCCATACACCAACTTTATGCTCTCTGCGCAAACCACAGGACAAGCTATCTTTACAGAGAGGATCCCAAACAGTGGAGTAACTTGAGCATGGTCACCGCTCACAAGGTGAGCGATCTGATCTTCGCCATTACCGCCTAATCGGATTGTTGAGCGTCTTAACAAGCTGTTCATTCTTGCGCATTTCCGATCACTGGGTGATGAAAACCCACCGAGCAAGCGTTATTTTGCAAAGAATTCATTCGATTAGACCAGATCCACTCAGTCGCCATGGTCATACATGTGTCGAGAATTTCGGATGCCTCTTATATTCGTTGACTACGAAAAAGCTTCTGAGAGTGTAGAAACCAACGCAACCTACCAAAACTAGTCGATCAAGAGGTAGATATATGTATGTATCTCATATAAGAACGCTGCCCGACCGCAATCACCAATGCACTGCCGCGGCACAACTACTGGGTTGGATGATAATATCGTAGCGCCTGCATTCAGCAAAAACTCAAAGCAAAGCTAAGCAAAAACCAGTCAGTCATTACTCAGAAGTCCGATTCTATCTCACAGAAATCACCGCGTTTGCAATTTAAGGAGGGAGTGTGCCCCTTTTCACAGTCCTGATTATTCTCAATTTGTACGATGTGAATATGATTTGAGGGATCGATCGGAATAAAAATCTTTTTGAAGACGATGGATTCTGAAGAATCTATTTTGGCAGCTTTCTTCTTTTTATAGAGATTTTCTGTCAGCCAGACTTCCTAACTTCTAAGCATCATATCGCTAGTGCGGTATAGTGCGCAATAGAGAAGATAACGATATACAGTGTTGTAGAGCGGAAGAAGTACTTTCAAATGATATACGTGATTTCCCAATGACGTTTATATTCAATGAATTTGCAGTCCGAGGAAAGACGCTATTATATCACGTTCCAAACCAAAATTTCAAGTCCCATTACGCTCATGAATTTTGCGGAACAAGGTGACACCATCTCGCCGAAGTTGCTTTCGTTGCGTTCCGTTGTAGATACTGAAGTCATCGATAGAGACGAAAAGGAATCGTGTAGGGGGTGGGTACCTCTCCAAACTACGTTTCCCATTCGAGATCCCTTCTCAAGTAACACAATGGAAGCTGAGACGATGCTCGCTGAGTTGAATGACGGAGAAAAGAAAGGTGATTGCGTACCAATCGAAGAAATACACTGTTCTTCAAGAACGCTCGGTCAAATGGTGGTGTAATCAAGGTTGACGGCACGCCTATCAAGGAACATTTCGTTTTATTCGAGCGTTCCATGAACATGGACAACGACATGAAGGACGAGCTAGGACGACCAATTTCTATCACTAACTTTCTTTTCCAATGGCAGTTGAATTCTTGTGCATTTTGAAGCTTGGGCAGTCATTTAGTCTCGTGTTAACTAATAGGAGGGATCTATTTGTGCTCCTTGTATGCAAATGGTGACAGGAGAGCAGCAGCTCGATGTCCCAAAAATTGTTATTTGTAATTGCACTATCAGCTAAGGTCTTTCAGGAAGCACAACAATTCTCTGTGGATTCTATGGAACGAATTGACTCCTTATTGCGTCTAAAAAGGGCCGCTTCAAAACCTATAAACAAAGGGACGCGTTGAACCTGAAGACTGCACAAAACTCCAGGAGGAATCTCAAACATACATGAACATCTTTATTACTCTAATAGTAGGCGGATTAATGGTAAAAATTTTACCATCCAATGTGGAGGAATCCTCGCCACGCCAAAAGTCAGAGCCGAAAAGAGACTCCAGAGCGCCATAAACGCTAATGACGAATAAACACATAGATAGATAGTGGCTTGTAAGGGAGAATGTAAAAAATATCCACAAACAATAGCTATATATATGTAGAAACTGAAATTCAATACACATCATACAAAAGTGGCCACACACTATTCTTAGTCTGTCCTTAGGATGTTGAAAGGAATGACATTTATTCGATAAGTCTCCCTGACGCTGTGAGTATGGCTTCCAGTTGCTCCAAACGCAACTCTGGTGTTTCCCGCAGGGCATACTGGAGTTCCTTCTTCGAAACTTTCTAGAGAAAAGGCTTCAGCTCCTCTGTTTGGATGCATTATTTAGTGCAGGCTCCCCTAATATAGCCCAAATAGGATGGTCCAGCAGGTTGAAATCGAGAGATATGAGAGCCATTTGTTTGAGGATGTGAAATCGGGAACAGCATCATGAGATCAGTCCTAAACAAATTTTGCCCCTTATGCAGAAGCTGGTTACTTTTGAAAGGAATGTCATTCCTCTTTGGAGAAGCTAGATACCTTAGTAACGAATGGTGCACTGGAGCATTCGTTAGCTAGGTCTGTATCGAGTTTCATTCGCTTTTCAACAGACAGTTGTGGTGAGCGACCGGTGATTGAGACCCTTGCCCAAATCGTGATAAAGATTGGCTGGTGCTTGTGGCGAATATTCCTTTCACTCTCACTGGCTTCCACAGACCTCATGCGGGCATCCTCGGAGTTTGAAGATTGTAGCTCCGCTCCATGTGAGGAATTTTGTCGTCGATGAAAACGGTGCCCGCGTATCGCCATTTTCGGCCCTCGACACCAGCTCTTCTTTTTGTCTCTGCTGTGCTCCTCCCGTTGGATTGAGCAGTGGTGCTTATGCAACTTATAATGGACTGTGAGCAGTTGTTATCTGACCACTCTACATGGCTGTGTTTAGAAACTCCAGCGTTCTGGTCACCTTTCTCGAGCCAACCCGGGTATTGCAGTCGTTTCGCTTCTTCATGCTTTTCCTGAGATCCAAGATGTCAGAACTTGGGCGGCCGCAACAAAGACTACTTCCATTGGTCTTCTCTTCAGTACACGGTAGGCCAAGGAGCGGTTGAAAATCCAAAGAAGCGCGATGTTCATCACCGGATGTCCGACCTAGCTGTATGAGGGATTAGGACCTCTTTTGAGGTTTAGGTGCACCATGAGATGTACAACGAATGGTAAGCCGTGCACTTTGGCAAGGTTATTCACAAGAGGTTATAGGAAGTGAAGGTATGCCAACCTTGGGAAAAGGACTACAGACACCCACACAATAGAAGCTCAAAATGTGTTGCAGTATTTATGGAACATCCTGTATCATATCTTGAAATCAACTCCTGAACTGCCCATCTACGCGCTATGAATTTTGCGACAGACAGACGGACGTACACACACTTAATAAAGTATTAGGTTGACGAAAAAGTTTTGTCCCCCTTTTTGAATTTTGCATATCTCCTCTCAATTTGAAAGCGTCTGAGCGGCAATGTCAACAACAGCAGACAAGGTAATACTCCTTTCACCAATGGCACTACATTGTTTTTTACTCCTCCTTTTTTCAGTATGGAGAACGGTTTTGTTCCAGATGGTCAGTACCTACATAATGTCATACTCTTCTCCTGCCATTCCGGCTCTAATATGAAGGCTGTCAAGACCAAAATGAAGGATTATGTGAGGACCATGCTCGCAGTCACAAGTCTATTGTTCGCAGATGCTTCAAGATAGGAGACTGCACTCTTGAAGACGAATAGATGTCTTGACGCCCATCTGAACTCAACTGAGCGAGCTGCGGCGTGGGGTGGGAATCGCAATCCAATCTACGAGGGAAATAGGTTTCCAAAAATGTTCAATTCAGGAAAGTTATGCTGTCAATCTGGTGGGATCTACATCGATCCAGAACTTTGGCAACTGCTAGATGAGGGAGCTACTGTCACTGCCAATCTCTATACGCAACAGCTGTGAGATTTGAGGCGAATCGTCGATCAGCGGGAAGGTAATCCCAGAAAAGTCCACTTCCAGCATAACACGGTCAGACTGCAATGTAAGGGAAGTGGACTCCGATCTAACTCGCTGCTCAGACGGACAAAGCTTCAAGCGTTGCGCTCAGATAGAAAGCGAGGTGACATCATACTTTTGCCTCGCGCCAGCCTGCATTTTGGAGGGATGACATGTATAATACAAGCTGCCTGAATGTTGGCAAGAATTAGTCGACAACGATAGTGGATATATAACATTAGGCTGTGACATTATGTGTCGCTCCGAGTCAAAGCAAACTTTATTATATCAGCGCAAGTATTGCAAGATTTAATCGTTCAGTCTATGATATAGTCTCCTTCTTGCTCTATAACTCTGTGCCTCTTATCTCCTAGCGAACGGACGCCGTCATCCCATCAGGTGAAAGTCACAAAAACATTCATCTGAGTCCCAAAGCCTATCGCTTCGGAACGACGGGAGGAATCCCAGTTCATGTGACTCCTGTTGCCTTTTAGCGTCACTGAGGCGGCGTGACACCCACTCACCACAGCAGTGACTTCCCAATTGCATCCAAGTATCTGGATTGTAGGATAGAGACACCCAAAGATCGCCGCGAGTTCTCGCACTGTTTTGCTATTCGTTCCCATTGGTTCTCTGAAAAAACTATCGTTCACTAATGGGTGTCTCCGATGGTGTTTTTCTTCTTTTTCGAGGGATCCATCACCGTTTCAGAAACGCTGGAATCACTTCTCGCATTGGCGCTAGAATACTACTTCCTTTCCGAAGGCGGTGTACAAGCTGCAGTGGCACTCACGGGAAGTTCTGCCTTGTTTGATGTCGTAGATACAAGCACGCGGCCGAAATTTTTGGACAGTCATCGTTGACAAGATTTAAAAGTGGA